AGATGGCTTGACTTAAAAGCCATGGGAGGAACCTAAGATCTCCTTCCTGAAAATGAAGCCTTCTCCACCCCCAAACGAACATGTGCCTGACAGCAACACATCCTCTTCAAGTGGACAAAGTGTGACTCCGAGTCTCTGGAAAGGGGAGTGTGGGGATTCTGAAGTCGTCACAAGACAGAAGGCAGCTGGGAGGTGAGAGGTACTGGTTGAGGAGTAGGGCCCTGTTTTAGAAGCTGTGGACGGGAGTCAGGAGGGCGTGGTAGGAAGGAGAGCCGGCAAGGCGGGACCTGGCTAGCTTCAGGCTTCGGGGAGAGGAGAGGAGGCTTTTAGGTGACTGCACAGAGCAGACAAGGGCCTAGAGGAAGCCCTGGTCAGTTTCCAGGAGATCAGACAATCAGGTCCAGGTCGTCAGTGGGAGACAAGCCAAGAGGGAGCCAGCAGCCTAGAAGATGAAAGAGATTTAAACATGCACACGCACACACACACGCACACACGCACACACACGCGCACACACACACATGCGCGGCCCTGTAGCTGAGTACTCCTTCTGGGCCTGTCTGTACCCAACCCCCGAACTGCAGGAAAGCAGAGTTTGGCCTTCTGAGTGAGAACGTGCTAATGAGCCACTGGAGAGCAAGGGGGCCCAGTCAAGTGCGGGGACAGAAGGGAGCCTCTCTCTTCCACCTACGTGGGCGGTGGCAGCAGAAGTGCTGGCACTGTCAGGGGCAGGCCTGAGCTGCCTCACAGGATGAGGGGGCAGAAGCCACAGGGGGCCTGACAGAGCAGTCAGAGCTGGCCAAGGAGGGAAGGGGCTGCACTCAGGAGACGTGAGCTGACACGGCAGAGGCTGGCCCCCCCCTTGCAGGGTTATGCAAAGGGGTTCCGGCCTCAGGAGCGTGTCTGGGCTGCCTCACTGTTCGGGCCCCTACCAATTTGAGATTCTCTGAGTTTGGGGACCATATGTGACGGCAAGAAGGGATTTAGCATGGTTTTCTCTGATGAAAGCAGCTCTGGAGCCCAGATGAGCACCGATGCCAAGGGAAGGAAGGAGTGGTGTGTGCAGATGTTCAGACTGGCCCTCTAAGACAGCTTCACCAGAAGGACACGCTCAGGGGAGGATCCCTAGGACAAGGCATCCCAGAGACAGAGGGGCTCCAGAGGGCAGCTGATGCTCTGAGAAATCTAGGGGTGTGTGTGTGACCTGGGCCAAGCTGTGTCAGGAAAAGATCATACAGGCCCAAGATGGAAAAAACAATCAGAGCCTTCGGTGAGCCGTACATTTCAGAAAAGCAGAAAGGACCCAGGAATTGCTCCCTGACAGACAGCTAAGACGACTACGTTGACTAACTCAGACCACACTTTCTTCATGTTTCTCTCTTCGAAAAGGATAAAATATGGATGATTTAAGAAAGTAAGTCCAAGTTGTTCTGGGGAACTGGAAAAGTAAATGAAACAGAGAAAGAGACCACGTCTGACAGAACTGTTTGGCTTTGGACCTGCGGAGCCCATAGCAGGCAGGGGTAATTTAGGAACTGCTGTATCTCATCGGAAAGCCACTAGGCATGACTTCTGAGAAATTGTGGAAATCAGATGAAAAATGTCTGAGTTCTGGCAAATCTTTTCACAGGGAGAAACAGAATGACACTGAAAATTCCAGTCCAGTCAGCTTCACAGCAGTACCTGAAAAGGTGATACAATCAACTTTCAGTCAGTCGGCCTGCAGGCAGTGTGACAGGGGAAGGGGGGCCAGGCCGCCCTGCTGCAGAGATGCCAAAAGGGAGACTTACCCCTTTCACATCTTACTATGCAGTTAATCCACAACACAAAGAGGAAAGAAGACTGATTATTAACTGGAAGAGGAGTTCACGCTACAAACAATTGCTCAGGTCGGGGTCTACTTTCCAGAGAGTGGATAAATGCTGAGACAATGGCTTCTCAGAGACTGTGAGAGAAGCACACAGCTAGGAGCCCAAGACGGGTATTAGTGTCTCTTCAACTTTTGGTCCAGATGAGCAGGTTTCAGGCTTGGTAAGTCACAGAGCACTTTTTTTCTAAACAAACTCCTTACAGAAGCTCTACAACTGCAAGATGGAAGAAGCAGGCTCCTCTGGTGGGAAGGGTGTGGGGAGGTGGGCAGAATGGAGTCAGGGCAGGGAGGGGAGTGTTCCATCCACCGGCCCCCCCCTTGGGAAACTGAGGCCTCAGAGCCATCAGAAAGATCACTGGGCTGGAAGAAGGAATTGAGAACAAGATTATTGACTGTGACACTGATTACAAAATAGGTCGATTCTATAAAACACAAGGAGGCAGGAATGACTTTTATAAATAATCTCTAACAGTGGCAAAAAGAATTCACTAGACCCAGGAACTAACTTAAAATGGCCAGTGCAGGCGGGGCCCGTCCCCTCCCCTCCCCACCTCCTCCCCCTCTGCTTCCTTCTCTTCTCCCACCAGCAGATACACACGCAAGTCAGGCAACACAAACCAAATGCAGTCCATGAAGCTCAGGTTCACCAAAGCAGCTAACAGAAAAGAGAGAAGCTCGGCTCCAGTTTACAGCTTGTAAACAACAGATAGCTTTGATTCTGATTTGAACAGCCTACTTAAGTGCCTCAGATGAACAAACAAAACAATGACTTTGACTCAGTTTATAACTTAAGATTCTTTTTGAGTGTTCAGTCAAAGCATGTTTAAGAGGGCCTTTTAGCTATGGTACGCTTTTTGTTAGGTTGTTTTACTGTGGTAAGATATATATAACATAAATGTGCCAATTTAACCATTTTTAAGTGTACCATTCAGTGGCGTGAATTACTTGCACAGTGTTGTGAAACCATCACTGCTATTTATTTCCAAAACGCTTTCATCACTCCGAACGGAAGCTCTGTACCCAAGAAGCAATAACTCTCCACTCCCCCTCCCCCCACCCAGGCTACCCTGTAGTCTACTTTTTGTCCCTATGAATTTGTCTAGAATAGATATTTCATACAACTGGAATCATACAATATATGCCCTTTTGTGTCTGGCTTCTTTCACTTAGCGTAATGTCTTCAAGGTTCATCCATGTCGGAGTGTGTGTCAGAATCTCAGTCCTTTTTATGGTAGAACAATATTCCATTGTACAGACACAGCACTTTTGTTTATTCGTTCATCTGTTAATGCCGCGGTCCCCAACCTTTTTGGCACCAGGGACCGGTTTCGTGGAAGACAATTCTTCCACGGATGGGGTTGGGGGGGGATTGTTCAGGAGCTAATGCAAGCGAGGGTTCAGGCGGTACTGCGAGCCATGGGGAGCCGCAGATGCAGCTTCGCTGTCTCACCAGCCACTCACCTCCTGCTGTGCGGCCTGGTTCCTAACAGGCCGTGGAAGTCCGAGGCCCGGGGGGTGGGGACCCCTTTGTTAATGGACACCTGGGTCTTTTCCACCTTTTGGCTCTTGTGAATGTACGGCGTGCTTTTATAGCCATGGGAGGAAGAAGGTGGGACTGTCCACTGGGGGAAAAGCAGGCTGGGGTGCCTGACAACGTCAAGACCAAAAGGCATGAGAGACTGAACACAGAGCAGGAGGGAGGTCATAGCCTTGAGGAAGGAGCTGGTGGAGAGGCAGGGAGCCAGGATTAACCCCTACGATGCAGTGAAGGAACTGGCTAAGCACACTGCTCAACTTGCCGAGTGACCCCGGCCGGTCCTGCCGCTCTCTGGGCATCCACTTCTGCACCTGCTCAGGGGCACACTGCAGCACATCAGATGCTTCTAAGGTCCTTCCAGTTCTGACAATCAGTCCACCAAGATCTTGACCATCAGGTGATTAAACAGTTTACAGCCTAATGAAGGACTCTGTTTGGAGGATGGAGCGAGAAAGGGGACTTTGGAGACGACAAAGGTCCAATCCCCCAGGAAGGAGAACACGGTGCCCACCGCAGAGGGTGTAGGGAGTGCTGGCAGGGCCTGGGCCCCCCAGGGGCTTGGCTCCAAGTGAGTGTCAGGGAGGAGCAGAGAAATGGTTACAGCAGAAGCTAGAAAGAGCTTGTCTCTGCTGGGACAGAGAGGTTTCTGGAACCAGCCTGGCCCCATCAGGGAATTCTTTTTTTTTTTTTTTTTTTTTTGATGTGGACCATTTTTTAAGTCTTTATTGAATTTTTGTTACAATATTGCTTCTGTTTTTTTGTTTTGGTTCTTTGGCCGTGAGGCACGTAGGATCTCAGCTCCCGGAAAAGGGATCGAACCTGCACCATCCCACGCCCCTGCCCCCGCCCCCCACGCCCGGCATTGGAAGGCAAAGTCCCACCACTGGACCGCCAGGGAAGGCCCATGGGAATTCTTAAACCAGTGGCGAAGGAACTGAGGAAGAGGCTTGGTGGGCAAGGCAAACAGGAACCTGAGTGATTTCTACAACAGACCCTAGTGACCTGTGGTCAGGTCCCCTTGAAGGACACAGCATGCCTAAGAGGTGGTGTGGGAGAAGAACACAGAACAGGGTCTCACGCCCATGCTACTAGCTGTGTGGCCCTGTCTGAAACAATGAACCACTCTGGGTCTCCCTCTCATCTATATGATGGGCAGCTCAAAAGCCATCATCTCTATGGCCTCCCTCCAGGGCCATTTCCAGGGCACATTGGAACAGAGAAGGGGTGTCAAGAGCGATCCCTTTCACACTCATTCTTTCAGCAAATGTTTATTGACCACTGCTCTGTGCCAGGCATTGTGCTACGTGCCCTTCCTTTGGCCTACCTGATACCCAGGGGACAGACAGAAGAGACAGCAACAGTATCTTCTTGCAGAGATTTGCAAAGGCTAACTGAAACAGCCAGTACAAATAAGGCTCCTCGGACAAACTACGCCCCCTGCAGTCTGGCTTGCTGCGAATGCCAATCAAGAGCTGTGATCCAGCATCAGGCACCTGGATCCCGGGTGTGACTCTCCAGCCCCTGGGAGGGGCCCTATCAGTGGGCTGGGAAGGGAGGAAAGAAGGCAACCGGGGTTCAGGTATAAGCTGGACTCACCTTCATGCAGGAGTAGATCACGGACACAAATACCACCAAGGTCAGCAGCAGGAAACAGGTCAGGTAGAAACTCAACATGAACACGGAGCTGGAAGGAGAGAGGAGGTGGGGAATTCTGGGGCTCTGAGACGCCCCGCGAAGGAAGCAGAATTTGCTCCATTTCTGCTGCACCTCCTGCCCAGTCTTGGGTGCCTGGCCCCTGACTCACTGAGGAGGGATTACTGAGCTTTGTGAACCAATTCGGAACCTGCCTCCGTAACGGTCTGGCTCCTGCCCTTCCTCCCGGTCTTGTCACTTTCCTGGGGGGAGCATAGCCCACACAGGAGCCAAACGAAGAACGGGGTGACACCGGCCCAATATTTTGCCTAATTCTTAGCTATCCATAGACTCACTTCATTTAGCCTGGAAGGACCCATTTTAAAAATCACCTGGCTGTTCTCTCTAGGTAGTCACTTATGGCCTGACAAGTAACTCTGAAGGCTAAACACTGGTTTGATAAATGGCCATCCTGTATAGAAATGCATTTGTCAACAGCCCAACCAGCTACTCTGAGAAATAGCAGTGACATGTCCCTTTGGAGGGCAGAGTCCCTAAACCCTGTCCCCTTCCTACTTGCCAGACGCACAAGTCCTGTTCAGCTTCTGTTCCCCTATTCCCAACCCAGCTCAACAACAACCGTAAAAACTGCAAGGATCTCCTGCTGCCCCTCCTCACAGAGGCAGATCACAGGTGAGCTCAAAGTTCACAAAGGGCTAGTATCCTCGGGCGAAAGAACTGCAAGTGACTTTCCATCCGGAGCCCGCCGTGGCCCTCCTGGGGCAGGGGCTGGTCGAGGCACAGCACTCCCTACCAACCACAGGAGGCCCCAGAAACCCCTTCTCCCTTCCAGGGAGTGAGACAGCCTGACGTGACAGGTGTTGTCAGCAGGTTAAAGGCAAGTGGAGGACACAAGAAGGCAGGTGAAGGCCTCTAGGGAGGCATCTTTGTTCCAGGCTCCCCCAGAAGCCAGCACTTAGCTGCCTGAAACAAACAGAACAGGGGAGAGAACCCTCTTCAGAGGGAAAGAAAGACCTTTAAAGTAGCTTTTAAGGCTTCCCTGGAGAGAGGACGGCCAGAGAACGACCTCCATCCATGCCTTAGCAGCTCGGAGCTGTGGCCAGAGGAGGGAGTGAAGCTACTGCGGGCAGAGCAGGGATCTGGTATAACCCGGCCCCAAGCCACGCTACCGAAAGACAGAAGCAGCAAAGAGGCAGGATTATGCCCCCAAGTGAAGGGGACTCTCAGCTGCAATGGGATGGAAAGTCTAGGTTGCTTATTATACCTATAGCTCCCTTTCAATACAGGAAATGAGTCCTATGACAGCAAAGACCCACAATCCCACCAGCTCTGCACGGTTTCAGTGCAGGGGGCAACGGACATTAACTGCGTAACCAGGGTGCAGCTGGCTGCCAGTGTCTGGTTTTCACCTGTGGTATCCTGACAGGGTCATAGCAGACACAAACGCAAGGGCCATCTCTTCAACGATAAGTACCATTAAAAATAAAAGGCACTGAGTGATAAGACATGCCAACACCACGCACCTCCTGATGTGATGCCCCGAGCAGGACACGCCACTCCTGTGGGATTCTTGTGAAAAATACATAACCTCCATCCAATCATGAAAAAGCATCAGACAAATCCAATTTGAGAGAGTCTACACTTTAATTAGCCAGTACTTATCGGAAGTGCCAAGGCCATGAGAGGTAAGTAAAGGCCAAGGAAGCACCACAGATGGGAGGGGACTAAGGAGCTACAGCAGCTAAATCCAATGTGGGCCCTGGCCCAGCTCTTGGAACACAGAAAGGACATTTGGGGAAATGCTGATGAAATCAGAACACAGCCTACAGATTAGTTCATATATCATTGCGGTGTTATTTCCTGATTTTGATTACTCTACTGCAGTTATATAAGTTGTCAATAGCACGGGAAACTGGATGAAGGATGTACAGAAACGCCCCGTAGTACTTTTGTGCCCTTTCTCTAAGTCTATAATTATTTCAAAATGAGAAACAGAAGGTGTTGGAGTGAGGGGACTCTTCCAGATTAAGTTAGATTTATGAGACATAACCAAATGCATTCAGTGGATCTTGAGTAGATCCTGGCTGTGAATAAACTAAGAGTAGAAGACATTTAGGGGGACAGTTTGGGAGATTTGAATACAGACTCGGTATTAGATGATTATAGAGGAACTGGGGTTAGTTTAGTTTGGTACATAAAGCATTGTGGTTAAGAAGCAAAATGCCATTAAAACAGGTGTCTATTGACGTGTTTAGGGGCAGAATGTCCTTGTATCTAAAATTTACCTTAAAAAATCAGAAATATACCTGTAATTAACACAACATTCTAAAGCAACTATACTTCAATTTAAAAAATCAGAAAAAGATAGATTAAAAAACCTTTCAAAATATTAACAATTGTTCTGGGACTTCCCTGGTGGCGCAGTGGTTAAGAATCCACCTGCCAATGCAGGGGACACATTCAAACCCTGGTCTGGGAAGATCCCACATGCCGTGGAGCAACTAAGCCCGTGCACCACAACTACTGAGCCTGTGCTCTAGAACCTGTGAGCCACAACTACTGAGCCCACGTGCCACAACTACTGAAGCTCGTGCACCTGGAGCCCGTGCTCTGCAACAAGAGAAGCCCCCACTCGCCGCAACTGGAGAAAACCCCCTGCACGCAGCAACGAAGACCCAACACAGCCAAAAATAAATAAATAAATCAATAAATCATTTTAAAAAAGAACAATTGTTCTATCTAGGGGATGAGTGTTGATTATATTAATTACTTTATGTTTCTGTATTTTTAAAATATTGCATAATAAAAAGTAAAAAAATATGTGTGTATATATATATATATATATATGCGCATATATACATATATATACACACACATACATACATGGAGAGGTTATCTTTCTCACTTAGCTGTGACCCTACTGTGAATGACTACCTAACAAACACTTCATGTCCAACAGCCCATTTCAGAGTGGTCCCCTTGGAAGCCACAGGCCTCTCTCAGTGACACAGCCAGTCCTCAGAAGATTTCAGGAACACCTCTTAGAGAAAAGTCTTCAGAATCTGAAATCCATTCTTTGAAATATCTGGAGTAGCATAAAACCCTTATTTTTTGAAGATATACTGTTTTTTTGCAAGAACCAAAGGTCATGCAGAAACCAGCTTGGTGAATACTTTGGGTGACTCAGTGGGCAACAGTGGTCTGCGTTAAAATGGGATGAGAGGATGAAGTGGAGAGAAGGGGTCTCCCGTGTGCTGGGCAGTGCCCAGACAGAAGTTTTCCACCTGCAACGAGCACATGGCCTACCCATCATGGGGCAGGCAGACTCTTGGCTTCCTGGTCTCACTGAGGACAAGACTGTAAACTTTTCTCCCTGCCTGAGCAAATTCAGCTCAGACTCCCGCCTCTGCTCTCTTACATGACCTCCCCTCCCACCCCTGGAGCCCCTGCAGCCAGAGGAGGGAGCCCGGGAGGGATGGGGTACTTACTGGGGCACAATGGTGATCTGGACAAAGCAGATGAAGAGGAAGACGAGCGAGGCACATGCCACGTAGGCACCGAATCGGTCATCCACCTGCTTGGAGTACTGAGAGGACATGGGCAGGGTGAGTGGGCGGAGGCACCTGGCCCTGTCTGCTCCAGCTCCCCTCCACCCCAGACACACCTGGGACAGCACACTCCCAAGACTTGGAAGACCCAGTCGAGAACCAGCACAGGCCTTAGCTCTCAAGAAACCAGTCCACTCACTACATGGTGGTGCCTATGGGGAGGGCCATTGAATTATGTTAAACCAGAAACTCTGCAGGGTGGGTCACCATGAGAATAACTCATAATGATCATGGCTCACATTCCTGAGCACCAACTACACACCAGAACACGTGCTGGGGCTTGCAACCATCACTGCACATCCTCACAAGAGCCCCAGGAAATAGGCACAGGATTGCTGCTGTTTCTACTTCAGAGATGAGCGAGCTGAGGATCAGAGAGGTCACTCAACTTGTCCAGTGTCACAGAGCTCATCTCCAAGGTCCTGACTCCCAGCCCCCACCCTCCCCACAACACCAACCAGCTGCACAAATGGCCGTGCTGGCAGTCACCCAGAGAGGGTAATCCATGAGTCAGTTCCATTTATGCTGGTAAACAGACTAAGTTCCCTTCCCGTAATTCTTCCCTCCTGATTAGGCGTGCCTCATCTGACCACGGCATGAGTTCACAGGAGCCCATGTTGACGGAACACAAGGGAGACCCTGTGACATGTAGCAAAGACCCCGGACCAGGGTCTTGTTCTGGCTCTGTCACTACTTCACTGGGTGGCCTAGAGCAAGTCACCCAGATACTCTGAGCTTTACTTTCTCAGTCACAATTTAAGGAGACAGGACAAAGAGCTCTTGACTGCCCCTTCCAACTCTAATACTCTGAGTTTCCAGTGTGCCAAAGGCAGCTGGATGGTCCATTGGAAACTATAATAATAATAACAATAGCAATAAAATAATACAAATAGCAGTGTTTATTGAACATCTACTATGTGGCAGGTACTGTTTCATGTGTTTTACATATATGGATGTTTAATCCTCACTATGACACCATGAGGTAGGTATGTTAAAAATCCCCATTTCCCAGATAAGGAAACTGAGACACAAAGAAATTAAGATGTATCCTTTTCCACCAAGGAAGTCTCCCTAAAACCCCCATTTCCTGGGTAGGGCAGCATCAGAGCTGGGAAATGGAAGTGACAAGAAGGAGCTCTTTCCAGGGCGGAGACAGGGGAGGGAGCCGTCCTGTTGCCTCCTTTCCCTCCCCTTGGTCCTGGTTCTGCACCAGGGTAGGGGGGTGGGGGTGGGGGGTGGTCCCCCCCCCCAGAGTGCTGTACCTTCTTCTCTAAGTCAGGCTCCCTGAAGGTCAAGAGGAACTTGCGAACATGCTCAGATCGTAGCCTGTCGATGCTCCTGGCGTCAATGGCACGGCCCAGAAATTCATCCACTTCATCCTCGGGGTTCGCACTTTCCTGGGCGTTCCTGGGGAGCAAGGGGCGCAGACACAAGACAGGCTGACCACCAGGGGGCGCCGCTAGGGGGCCGGCTCAGCCCGCACACCCGGACCCATCAGAGGGGCTTGATCAGCTCTAATAAGGGGTGGGGAAGCTGGGATTGACACCAGGACGGGCCAGAAGCCCGAGTACTCACATGCGCAGAACACTGCCCAAGGCTCAGACCCGCGGGCTGGGGGGGCCTCACTGACAATAAGGATTTTCTAACCCTATTGATGTATTATTAAATGATAATGATAATATGAATTATTCTCAAGGGTTTGTTTTTCCCCTACAGGTAACAGTCTCTGCTCTTCACTCTCTAGCTGTACTGTCATCCTGAATTGAAGGCTGAGACCAGGAGGCAAGACCTCTGCCGCAGGGCCTGGGAGCCACCTGGCTCCTCTCGCCTGGCCCAGGGGACTCTCTGGGAAGCACGTTTCACAATCTTTGGGTGCTGAACTAAACACTCTACTTGTAGCGTGGAGCCCAGTCCTCGAGTGGGATTTCTGACAGCCCCTGAGACTGGGGAGTGGAGGAGAGAGACAGGCACATTCCTTCAGGGTGCTGGGACGTGGCCAGGTGTTGGCGACCAATGTACAAAGCCTGCATCTTCCTGGGAGCCGTGTGTGTGTGTGTGTGTGTGTGTGTGTGTGTGTGTGTGTGCGCGCGCGCGCGCGTACATGCGTGTGCTGAGTGTGTTGTGTGTAGTTGTGTGTGCATACGTGTGTGTGTGTGTGGAGTGGAGATTATAAATGGGGGATGCCCAGGCCCAGCCTCTCCGCCGGGGGCCTGGGCTCCTGGGCTGCTCGTCTCTCGGGTGCAGTGGGCTCTGTTCACTCCCAGCCAAGACTGCGAGACCTGGGCTCCTTCTCCACGGAGTACGGAAACTGAGCTCCAGGCACATTTGGAGACATCCCCCAGGCCGAGGGAGCTCAAGTGAAGAAGGACAGGTTACTCACTTGTCCTTGGGATCTTCAAAGCCCTAAAAGAGAGGGACGGAGAGAGGAGGAGAGGAGGATGAGAACCAAGGGGATGAAAACGGGGAGGCCGCAGCGCATCCCCTCTCACAGGTCACCAGGAGCTTGGACACAGAGAGCACTGTCACTCAGTCATCCCCTCCTTCCTTCATTTGGCAAATACAGCTGGGTTTGGGACAGGCTCCACGCTAGACGCTGGGGGCGCACTGTGATTTTACTTCATCCACTGGCAAAGTCCATGAGTCTAAGCTCTTCGTGTCCCCATACCCAATTCCTTGTCATTCCCCAGACCTTCCTTCACCCTCCTCCTGGACCCTGGGCTTGGTGGGTCCCCTCCCAATTCTGCCACCTACTCAGATGTAAATAAGAGAAACTGCCAGGCCGATCAATCCCCACACACCCGTGCACACCTGTGCACACACACAGCTCATGCACACTCACACACCCCCAACTCCCGCCAAGCACACATAAAATCTCCTGGGACTTCACAAGTTTTGAGCTTAAGAAAGCCAAACTCTGGTTACCTGCAACAGCTCTTCTGGTATCGGAGAACCAATGTGTTCTTCTAAGGCTGGAGCTGGCTGGGGACCCAGGAGGTGAGGAACCTGCCTGCCCTGGTTTGATTACTGTTCTGATGTTCACACACACAGGGCAGGGGTGAGGGTGGGAAGGGCCCTTACTGGTTGCCAAACTCAAGGCCCTACCTAGAGTTCATCTATAAAGGACAGAAGTGCGTCAGGGTCTGATCAACTGTGGCAGAATGGAGGGAGGGGCCCCTAAAATGGGAAGGGGTGGGATCAGGGAGGCAGTGGGGGAGGCACAAGCACCCCAGGACAGGCGGCTTCAGGTTGCCAAGACAAGGACAGAGGGTGGCCTCTTGTCCCTGTGGCCCAGCATGGAACACGCTGCTGGGCAGCCAGGGGGCTTGGCAAATGTCGGGGGAACCCAAACCCCAAATGAACACAGATCTCTTCATTCCCACTGAGGAGTGGGGTTTACGATGCTCTCCGCGAGCCGGAGCTGCCGGGCTCTGAAATAGACGTGGGGCCCGTGGGCACTGAGGTGCTGTCTATTCTCCTCACCAGCTCAAGGCTCCTTGGCTTGGCAGCCCCTAGTGCCACATCCAAGTGCCCAGCCGTGGGCTCTGAGCTCCTCCCGGGCTGCCCAGTGGCTGTCTTCCTTTCTCCTCATCCTCTGAGAATCACCAAGCCCTTGGTCCAGGCTGCAGGGCCCCGCCCACCTCACTGTCCCCACTCGAGGCTAGAGGAGTTGGGGTCTCTCATGTGAGTGCCCCATCTGGGGGCAGGCAGGATCTCTAGGGCACAAGCTCGAGTGGGCGGCAGAGAGTCTGGACAGGCCAGTCTCTGTGGACCATGGTGAGGGGCTGGCCCGCTGATCTCCACCCCAGGGGCCAGCAACGATTTTACTCGGAGGACATCCAAGCCACATTATGCCTATGCTGGTCTCTACAGCTCAGAACTATACCTGAAATGTGTCTAATGAACGTGTCTCGGACTTCCTCCAGTGCTCCTTTGGTGGTATGCAGGGGCTGGTACTGGGGGCCAGGTCCGCTCTAGGCTTCCTGTGTGCCAGGCTGGGGTGGTGAACTGACCGCAGTCAGGGAACACTTTGGTGGATAAACCATGGCAAAGGGCCTTTAAGAACACAGGCCAGCAGACTGGGTTCCAGTCCCCCGACCTGCTTTCTAGTCCTAGGACAACGGTCCCCAGCCGGCAAGGAGGACACTCAGATGGGTTCCTGCCATTGTGCCTCCGCACTTCTGGAGAGCAGCTCAGCTCAGTGCTTCTGTTTGGTCCCCGAGTCCTCTCCTTCTGACCTACAGCAAGACCAGAGGCCGTGGGCCCCTCTGCTCGTCCACACTGAGGTGCAGACTCTGGTTTGCAGGCCTGCCCTGGCAAAGCTGCTGTGGGGAACACTTGGGCCCAGCCTGCCGCCTCTGAAGAATGCACAGCTTACCCGAGCCTGGTTAGATGAGCAGGAGTCCACGTACGATCTCCCGTCAACCTTTTTATTAATAAAGAACCTTAGAGAACGTCCCTGGTGGCGCAGTGGTTAAGAATCTGCCTGAAAATGACTTTACTACCCGAAGCAATCTACAGATTCAATGCAATCCCTATCAAACTACCACTAGAATTTTTTCATAGAACTAGAACAAAAAAGTTCACAATTTGTATGGAAACACAAAAGACCCCGAATAGGCAAAGCAATCTTGAGAATGAAAAACGGAGCTGGAGGAATCAGGCTCCCTGACTTCAGACTATACTACAAAGCTACAGTAATCAAGACAGTATGGTACTGGCACAAAAACAGAAAGACAGATCAATGGAACAGGATAGAAAGCCCAGAGATAAACCCACGCACATATGGTCACCTTATCTTTGATAAAGGAGGCAGGAATGTACAGTGGAGAAAGGACAGCCTCTTCAATAAGTGGTGCTGGGAAAACTGGACAGGTACATGTAAAAGTATGAGATTAGATCACTCCCTAACACCATACACAAAAATAAGCTCAAAATGGATTAAAGACCTAAATGTAAGGCCAGAAACTATCAAACTCTTAGAGGAAAACATAGGCAGAACACTCTATGACATAAATCACAGCAAGATCCTTTTTGACCCACCTCCTAGGGAAATGGAAATAAAAACAAAAATAAACAGATGGGACCTCATGAAACTTCAAAGCTTTTGCACAGCAAAGGAAACCATAAATAAGACCAAAAGACAACCCTCAGAATGGGAGAAAATATTTGCAAATGAAGCAACTGACAAAGGATTAATCTACAAAATTTATAAGCAGCTCATGCAGCTTAATAACAAAAAACAAACAACCCAATCCAAAAATGGGCAGAAGACCTAAATAGACATTTCTCCAAAGAAGATATACAGACTGCCAACAAACACATGAAAGAATGCTCAACATCACTAATCATTAGAGAAATGCAAATCAAAACTACAATGAGATATCATCTCACACTGGTCAGAATGGCCATCATCAAAAAATCTAGAAACAATAAATGCTGGAGAGGGTATGGAGAAAAGGGAACCCTCTTGCACTGTTGGTGGGAATGTAAATTGATACAGCCACTGTGGAGAACAGTATGGAGGTTCCTTAAAAAACTACAAATAGAACTACCATATGACCCAGCAATCCCACTACTGGGCATATACCCTGAGAAAACCATAATTCAAAAAGAGTCATGTACCAAAATGTTCATTGCAGCTCTATTTACAATAGCCCGGAGATGGAAACAACCTAAGTGTCCATCATTGGATGAATGGATAAAGAAGATGTGGCACATATATACAATGGAATATTACTCAGCCATAAAAATAAACGAAATTGAGCTATTTGTAATGAGGTGGATAGACCTAGAGTCTGTCATACAGAGTGAAGTAAGTCAGAAAGAGAGAGACAAATACTATATGCTAACACATATATATGGAATTTAAGGGAAAAAAATGTCATGAAGAATCTAGGGGTAAGACAGGAATAAAGACACAGACCTACTAGAGAATGGACTTGAGGATATGGGGAGGGGGAAGGGTAAGCTGTGACAAAGCGAGAGAGAGGCATGGACATATATACACTACCAAACGTAAGGTAGATAGCTAGTGGGAAGCAGCCACATAGCACAGGGAGATCAGCTCAGTGTTTTGTGATTGCCTGGAGGGGTGGGATGGGGAGGGTGGGAGGGAGGGAGACGCAAGAGGGAAGAGATATGGGAACATACGTATATATATAACTGATTCATTTTGTTGTAAAGCAGAAACTAACACACCATTGTAAAGCAATTATACTCCAATAAAGGTGTTAAAAAAAAAAAATCTGCCTGACAATGCAGGGGACACGAGTTCGAGCCCTGGTCTGTGAAGATCCCACATGCCGCGGAGCAACTAAGCCCGTGAGCCACAGCTACTGAACCTGCGCTCTAGAGCCCGTGAGCCACAACTACTGAGCCCGTGTGCCACAACTACTGAAGCCCACGCGCCTAGAGCCCGTGCTCCGCAACAAGAGAAGCCACCGCAATGAGAAGCCTGCACACCGCAACGAAGAGTAGCCCCTGTGTGCTACAACTAGAGAAAGCCTGCCAGCAGCAACGAAGACCCAACGCAACCAAAACATAAATAAATTTAAAAAATAAATACATAAAAATAAAAATAATTTTAAAAAAAAGAACCTTAGAGACCTTACAACACTCATGCCTAAACCAGCACAGCTCATTACTACATCTTAAAAGCTGAGTAAAAGTTGGAACAAGATTTAAAGAAATAAACTGCTGACTACGAGTTACTCCCCTCTAACTGCTCTCAGTCACTGCTTAATCCAATCCCCTCCCCTCCACCGCATCTTCAGTGGAAGTCAGGGTAGAAGCTTTCTTTTTGCATATCTTTCCCAAGGGTTTCTGGGCGAGTTTAACACCAAAAGCCAATGGTGTGCCTGGCGGCTGCCAGATCCCATCCCATTCCTGGCCTAGACACTGGGCTGGCAGGGGCCCAGGGGATGGTACTTTGATGCTGGCCCCTCGGGTGACTCTGCCCAGCAAGGACAGGGATGGGGAGCCTCTTCTCTCCCTCTACAGGGGTGTCCCCGAGCTTTCTGATCACTTTGCATTCCCTCCCCACTGGGGGAAGCAACCAACACCACGGAGGAGCCTTTCTGACAGCCAGTCTCCCGTGAGACTGTTTCCCCAGTTACAGCCCTTCTGCTAATTCTTCCAAGGTTTCTTGTCCTAACAATGATTAATGTCTGCCAAATTGGTGCTTATAGTCCAAACTGCCCCCTTGGAGACTCTGAAATACCTAAAGAGTCCACCTACACCAAATATTGCTAAAGAAAAGAACTTTCCGAAGATTTTAAACGGAGAACGTACCAGCAGGCACCTTTCTTGCCTGCTGGTGGTTCCTCTCCACCTCTGTCCTGTCCCATCTTTTTATTCCCTGCTCTCCCTCATCTCCTGCTCCCCGCCCTGCATCTCCCCCTTACCCTCTCTGTCCTCCCGCTCTGGTCTTCCTGAGACCTGTCCTCCTCTTTCCTCCCACCTGGATGAGAGCCTCCCTCCTTGCATTCTGCTCTCAGTCTCCCCCTTTCCTCTCACTCCCTCTCTCACCTCTTGGCTGTCCTGGTCAAGTGGGTAGAGAGTCCACAGGAGATGATTCAAGAACTGGGGTGAGAACAGGGGGGGATCCAGCAACTGCTCTTTGCTTTGGGGAGGGGCCTGGAGGGAGCAGGAGTGGGGCCTGGAGCCCTGGGTGGCACTGACCAGGCCTGGGACGTCTAAGTTCAAAGCCCTGGGGCAAGGCTGACCTTTCCCACTCTTCGTCGCTTAGGACCTTGGTGTCCTGCAAGTTGTTTCTTTACCAGCAGAAGTTAAAATGGTGATCTTGACTCAATTCACTTTTTTCTTCTGTACATTTTCCTTAAACCTTTGTCATCTGCTATTTGCTAGCTGGCAAGGAGCATGACTGGTCCCTAGCCTGTCCCCTCCCTCAGACCCCTGGATATGTCTGCCGACTCAGCTGGACTCCCATGGAGTCTCTCTCTAATCCCTGCGGCTGCAGCTTAAACCCAGTCTGATCCACAGGCCCCCAACGTGGGGATCCTAGTGTCGGCATGGCCCCCCATTCCTCTACCTGGATCTGTGGGAACTCAGTGGACATGCGCGCGCGCGCGCGCACACACACACACACACACACACACACACACACACGGCTTCCTCACCCATCCCTCCCTCAGAGCGGGCAACTCCTGCCTGGGTACCAGGCTGCCCTTGACCTGAGGAGTGCGCTCAGATGCAGAAGCCAAGATCTCAGATAAAAATAAAGAACTGCTTCAAACTGACTTCTTGTCATCCCTCATTCTCTTCTTCCCACCCTCTGAAGTCTTCTTTCTAGCATTACTGATAGAACACAGGCAGGGCATCCTGAATTAGCCCGTCCCTGCTGTGCGCAGGGGTGGCTGAGGGTGTCTGTCCTCTGAGGCCGGCAGGGTCCCTTGAGATGGAGGCAGCACCCCTACCACGGCCTCTGCTCACTCAGCCTGCGTGCTCCCACAGGAAGACTGGAATTAGCAGGGCGGTTCTCAGCACAGAGGGCAAAAAGACCATCACCTGGCACTTGCCAAAAAGCACTGGGATGGTTTCTGAGCGACTGGGCCAGAAGATGTGTTTCAACTGCCTGGGAAATGCAACAGATGCTGGAAGGTGTCTGACAAGCCTGTGCCCACCCAACTCCCCGGGGCTCCCCAGACAGGGCCAAGAGGCCCTGGAGGCTGTGTTTGGACCTTGAGTCCAGCCAGATGGGTCTGCTTCCAGCCTACACCAGCAAGGTCTGCCACGGGGGAGGGAAGAAGGGGCTTCACCGCTCTGCTCCAAAGCCAAATCCGGCCTGCCAAGAGATGGTGGGGCCCACAGAGAAGGCCCAGGGCCGGAAGTCAGGCGCTCTGTCTCCTGGTCCAAAGTCAGGGTGAGCCCCCTTCCAACGATTCCTTCTGTGGCTCTCAGATTCCCTGGGTAACAGGAGGGGCCTGGCCCAGTCCTCACACCCACAGAAGGCCCTAGCCCTGGACAGTGCGGCCCACACACTGCGCTGCCAGCTACTCACCATCCGTTTCATCTCCTTGGACACCTGGTTGCCACCCAGGTGGTTGTAGAAGGGGCGCTCGGCCCCCCAGTGTGGCGGGTTGTGCCCGATCGAGTTGGTTCTCTGGCGATTCATCTTGGCAATCATGGCCTTCTCTTCTTTCTGGGAGAGCAACATAGATGCGTCAGCCTGTGGGTAGGGTCCATCAGGCGAGCCCAAGTAGGGCGTTTCTCATTCCTCCCAGGTGCCTGGCCAGGCAGGGGTCAAGGCAGTACCTCCCTCCCTTCTCTGCACAGCCCGGAGCCCTGAGGTCTGCCAAGATCCTAAAGCTCACCCAAGAAATCGTCCTAAATCCCTCCGAACGCCCCAACGCCAGCCCTGGCTGGGAGCTGGGAGCCTCAGGTGGGAGCAGCAGAACAGGATGACGAGGTTTGTCTTGTCAGAAAGCCAAGGGGCATGGGAACATCTGTTGCTGGCATAGAATTTTAGATGTGGGCAGAGCCTGGGTCTGAAAGTGCTTGGGGGGTGATGGACGGAGAGGAAACATGAGATTCCAATTTCCACCCCAAAACAGGCATGTTCTAGCAGAGCGGGTAGTAGGACAGGCCCTGCAGCTTCTGGACGTTTGGGTCATTAAAACGTGAGATGCAAGGGCTGACGCGCATTGCACAAATACACCAACGGGGCCTCAGCCAGCTCTCCATGTGCCAACCACAACCTATCTGTCCATCCATCCAAATGAGCTCGAGGTGGAGGGTTGGAGAGGCCCTGGGGGGACCTGGGTGGCCTTCCCTTCAACTCCCTCCCTGAGTCTGGGAAGGGAGCGGGCCAGATCAGAGGCAGAGGGGAGGGGACACAGCCTGCTTCAGCAGACACTGCTCTGGGTCGGGGCTGGAGGGGTGGGGGGTGTCCTTTTCTGTCTCCATTTCATCTTTTCTGAGCCACTTGTCAAGCTAGAAGAATCAAGACCCAGAGGACCCAGGGCAGAGGGTAACCCTTCAGCCTGGGCGGGGCAGGAAGGTGAGGCTAGAGGCGCTATGGGCCCAGCAGACAGGAGGAGTGTGGGAGGGGGCCTGGGAGGATTTCGGTTCATTTATACTCCAGCCAAACAACAAGCAAATGCTTTAAAATGAGTCAATTAAGCCACTAAGTGCTTTCCCCAGAGTCCCTAAATCCTCCCATCCCTCTTTCCGGATGTCTGTGGCAGGGCCTGACACCGCTCCCTCAGAGGCACCCCGTAGCCAGGTCCTGTGTGCTGGGATGTGTGGAGGGTGAGGTGTCCCTCTGATGTCCCTGCAGGGTGGACACCTGCCTCAAAGAGCTCTGCCCACCTTGAAGAATCTACTTTTGCTGTCTCCAAGACTTTCTCTGAGCTTTTCTCGCAGCTTAATTTTGTCTTCAGTCTAATTCCTTAGGACAGAAACAGGGAAGCTTTTCTCTATCAAAGGGCTCTGACCAATAGATAAATTCAATTGAAAGATTTATAAGTAAAAGGCATTTTAATTAAGGAAAAATGTAAAATATAAAATGTTCTCGTTTGCTTTAAAAATTAAGAACGTGGAACGTGACACTCTTAAAAATAGAACACTGAAGTCTGCTAATAATTCAGTTTTACATTTTGGCAAGTGTGGGCTGAGACAAAAGAAGGAAGAAGAAAGACTGGAAAGTGCAAGAGGGGAAAAGACAGAGTTTCAAGAAACAGAGGTATATAAGGACAGGCAGAGAGAGAGCGAGATCCACCTGGTTTAGGTAACAGACAAGGAACGAGATGGAAATAAAGGACGTGGTATACACAGAGTTCCCTGATGCTTCTTTTCCATCTCGTGGCCTTCTGCTGTATTGTTACTAACCGATCTGAGGTCTGTTGCTTTTTCTGCAACAGAAGCAAAATGAAAACCTCCCCTCTTTGCCACCAGCCTTTACAAAGCCTCTGTAGCTCTCACGTCCTTCCTGAGATGCGGGAACCACGACTGCATAAGAAATTCAGGACTTGCCTCAACGAAAGAGTAAGAGGAGAAGGAAGCAGCAGGCTAAGCAACATTCCTCCCCAAAGAATGAAGCCCTCCCACCCCCCCGCCCCCCACCCCAGCCCTCGGTCCCCGGACCCGCTTCTGGGTGCAGCGCAGGATGAGGAAGGTCTCGATACTGTGCTCTTTGAGGTAGGCGTTGCGCTCGCCCCCACCGCCCGGCTCCACTTCGTAGTCGCCGTTCAGGTAGTTGAGTGTGGCCTTGGTGATGTGGATGCGTCTACGGGTAGGGGGGGAAGCAGGGAGAGGAGGGCAGCAGACGTGAATTCAGAACCCCTGCTCCCATGCAGAACCAAACTGTAAGCAACTCAGTCAGCATTCGAATCCCAGGGCCCCGAACTCTGACTCAAATGCTAACCCCTACCTGGATCTCTCAATGGACTGTATCCCTCCAACCTCATCAAGATGGCAAGGTGGGCTCCTCGCCAGCTCGTGTTCACCGAGACCACACCGCATCACATCTGCATCACGTTATTACAGGGATGTAACACATCGGCCTGCCGGGAGAGCACGGCCTCCGGTCTCACAAACTTTGCAAACCTGCTCAGGAGCCAGCAGTGGCTCCTGCTGACTGCAGGACTGCGTCCAAATTCCCCAGCCTGGCATGCACGTCCTTAACACAGGCACTGTTTCTCCCACTGGTTCCTAAAAGGCCATCTGCTCTACTTGCATTCCCTGAAGTACTGTGTTTTCCTCTGCCTGTGCCTGTCCTCAGCCTGGCAGCTCCCCTGACCCTCACCTTCCTCACCTGCCCCCATCCTGCCCCGTCTGCCAGGCCAGTTGACCTTCCACCTCCTGGCCACCCCCGGAATTATCCAGGGGTCCTCCCTCCTCTATAAGCCTACCCTGACCTCCTGCGTCTCACGACAGGCCGCCAGGTTCTATGTAAATATTTTCTGGGTGAAGACTGGGTGAAGGTTGGGGCCACGCTCCCTACAAGTTGCCATGTGTGGCGTCAGTGCTTGGTTACTAGAGGAATTCCACTTAAATTCTGCCAACCCCAGGGCTGCAGCTACCCGGTCCTGCCCACCCTAGCCCTTTCCCCATGACAGCCACCTGGGTGGGCCGGGCGGGAAGCTGCCCTCACTCACTCACCCCGCCTTGCCTCCAGCCTCCATGTGGTTGGCCAGCGTGACGTCGTTAGACCAGACGTCGAACTGCCACTTCCTGAGGCCAAGGACGCCACAGTGCACTCGCCCGCTGTGGATTCCCACACGCATGTTCACGTTGACACCTGTCACCTCCCGGACCAGCCTAGGGATGGAGTAGGGGTAAGGCCGGGAGGGGGTCAGGGCCATGCGCAGAGAGGTCAGGGTGCGTGAGAAGGTGCAGGGGTCAAAGAGTCATTTCTCTCCAGGCCAGCCCAAATCCAGAGTCTGAGACTGCGCATCCTGAAGGGCAGGGCTGGGCCCTGGTGCCCAGGGGCTGAGGGTTGTGAGAGGCGCTGCTTCCCAGCTTGCCCGCAAGGTGGCGCAGTGCCTCACACTACGCCCCAGGCCCACTGCTTCTCCCCAGCGAGGGCACCTGAGCCCGCGCTACCCTCAGTCAATAATTAAGTTGTTCTGAAAATGCAAGCGCACGTTAGTGCCGATTTGAGTCGACAGGAAAGTTATAGTCACTCCAAACCCCACTCATGTAATTCTCGGATTTACCCACATTGCTGCTTCTTCGACATTAGCAGGATAATGGAGAAAAAGAGAACATAGGCCCTGCCCAGGAAAGATAGGGGAGCTGGGGCAGGTGCGGGGGACCAGGGGTGCTCCACGTGCTAGAAGACAGCGCCAACCCCATCACATGTACCACGCACGTATTCGGGGCGGGCCGCCTATAGGAGGGGGAGTGCGATGGAAGCTCTACAGCTCTGGGTATGCGTCTGGGGCCCGGGGTCTGTGGAAAAGGGAGCCGGTGCTCTGGGGGGAGGGTCACAATGTGCACTTCTTGGGGACCTGGACCTTCCTTGGCTCCCTGGGGATGGACCCACTCAGCCAGCCATGGGGCCGGCAGTCTGACTTGGCCTGGTGGGCAGGACCACCGTGTGGGCTCCAGCTCTCACCCCACCCCACCACTGAGAGGCTGACACCTACCACAGGGAATATTTATGTCATCCATCTATTTCTCTCGTCCTGGGATCAACTCTGCAAATACCTCTGCTGGAGCTGTGCCTTCCATCCACAGGGCCTCTGGCCACTGGCTTAGGTTGATATCTCTCATTCTACCTTTTTGGCTTCACTCCAAGGCCACCTTCTTCATGAAGCCTTTCTGGGTCCTCCCAGTGAAATCAACTGCCCCCTCCCGGCCCCTCCCACCGCAGTTTGCCTCTCTTACCTGATGGTGTCCACTGGGCATGCCTGGTATCAGAGCAACGGGAGTCCTGGCCCCTCAACAGGCTCTGTGCTTCCAGGCAAGGGACCCCCTGTCTAGCCCGGGCACACAGGGGCACTCGGCAAACACTGCCGAAAGGAACTGAGCCAAACAGGATGGACCCGGCCACCTTCTGGGCCAGTTACTCTGACCTCTGACCTTGCCCACTGTGGCTTTTCCTTTGCCCCACTCAGTCTACTTCTAAAGCTCCCAGTTTTGGAACCTGGACGCAATCTCTGGCCTGCTCCCTTGGCTGACCTGTAAGCTGGGCTTGTCCATGTTGCCTAATGACTGGGGCTCCTTCTGTGGTCAGCAGTGACCAAGCATCGGCCAAAGATCCTGGCTGCTACTGCCTGCAGGGAGGATGGGCTTTCTTAAACGGGAGCACCTGTGTTTGCATCCACCTGCCTAGCAGTATTACCCTGGGGAGCCGTTTAGCCTCTGTGAGCCCAACCTTTCTCATCTGTGAAGACATGGGACTGGTGACTTCTACCCCTGGCTGGGTGGTTGTGAGAAGACATGAGGCCTGGGGTGCAAGGCCCTGCCATGGCACAGGGTACAGCACAGCCGCCAGCCAGTCCTCCTTTCCTGGAGGGGTGACTCCATACCTCCTGCTGCCCTGGAGTCTGCAAAGCCCTCCCTTCTTCCAGGACATGTCCCTCTGTGCAGAGCTTCCCAGGCTGCTGTGAGCACAGGAGCCCGGGAGGAGGCTCAGAGCCTGGAGGTGTGAATCAACCCTCCGGTGTGGCCAGGGTCCTTGGGAGGTGGCTTTGCCCCACTATTTCCCTGCTTCCATCAGTCCAACACGAGTCAGTTACTCGGGATATGGGACAGTCCCCCTGCAGACCGACGGTCCCACTGGAGATGGACAGTGTCCCCACAGGCGGGCAGTCACCCTGGAGACGGGCACTTACGAGATGGCCTCAATCATGTCCATGCCCATCTCCACGCAGCAGTGGGCATGGTCAGCCCTGGCTTCAGGCAGCCCTGAGACGCAGTAATAACAATCTCCCAGGATCTTAATACGTAAACAGTGATTCTCCTGGAAAGCAAATTAATTTTAAAAATTAAAAATAGTAGGAAAGAGAAGTGGGAGGGAAAGAAACAGGAAGCAAACAGATTCACCCCATGCCTGGAATAACTTGCCTTTTAGGGCAGCGAGCACAGACCCAGTGCCGGCATGAGGTGTGGCCCCAGCCTGGGGACAGGCTTATCGGGAGCCGTGGGGGACGGAGGACAGGCTGAGCCGCGCTCGAGAAGCATTCCAGCCACCCCAGGCCCAGGAACTCACTCTTTTGGCCACAGCTGAGGCCCAAGAAGAATACAGCTGGTCCAGTGTGGCAGCAAATGGGGCAGACTCATCAGGGTGAGAGGCCCCGAGCTGAGAGTGAGGGGCCCATCCCACTCCCAGCCCTGCGACACGCTCTGACTCCTGGTCTACGGTTCTACTAACAGTTTTATGACTCTCCTTTTATGAAAAGACTGAAGCAGAAGTGAGATATAACCAAAGCTCGCCTGACCCCCAGCCTGAGATTTTTATCCAAGACAGTTCTGCTAAGCCAGCAAGCACGTGCGTGCTAAGACAGCCATAGAGCGGAAGCACCCGCCCGCTGCAAGGTCACCCCTCAGGCCGCAACCGATGCATAACTGGGATTGAGATGGACTGTCATTAATCACCAATTCTGAGCTGTCCAAGTCTGCTTCCCAGAGGTTACTTCGTGAAGCTGGTACGCTGGGACCCAAGTATCTGTGTGCCCTGGACTCTCCTTTAAGGCCCTTCCAAAACCCAAGGGCTGAGCATGTCCCCGTTCACCTCGCCCACACTCGGTGATAAAATCAGTGAGGTGTGAGGCCCACCATCAATGCCCTTGGAGGCCCTTGGCACCGTCTCTCATCCATGATCTGCCTGGTGTCCTGTGACGGCCCAGGGGACGTGTCCACCTCTCGGTGGACACTGCAGTAAGTGGGCCCCGACACAGGACTCTCCAAAGGCACAGAGCATCGCTCCGAGCCACAAAGGCTGGGAAAGGACGGCAGAGTATAAACAGGGACTAACGAACGTGTGTCCCTCACCACTCCATGCCCGGGGAGGGGGTCACTTCCAATCTGTCCCAACGTGGAAGAGTCCTCTTTCCATAAGTCTCTTGGGTGACACACAGCTGTCTGCAGGCCAGTTGAGATTCAGACTCATTTATTATTTTTTTTATCACTCTGGCCACCCTCATCAGCAACGTGGCTCTGTGGCACCGAATTTGCTCCTCCAAACACAAATTCCACAAATTCAGGGGTCAGGGCAGCATTTCCTGCAGGCCTCACCACCCCTTTCCACCGATGGAGGGCTTGCTCCCTTGCGACCGGTGACACTGTGAGCATCTCTGAGTGTGCGGCGGGGCTGACGTGAGGCGTGAGGACACGCAGCCACAGCCTGTACGGCCCCGCCTCCCCAGTCCCCGATGGCGGACTCCGCAGCACCCTACCCCAGGCAGCCCAGATCAGGCCACCCTTCCGGCCCCGGCTCGGGCACACAGGGTCCCCAGGGCAGTGGGCAAAAGGTGACTCACTGCAGCCAGCTTGTCGAAGCGGGCGAAGAGCTCGTTGAGGGTCATGACGAGCTCCTGGGCAGTGCACTGGGACGCCAGGCTGGTGAAGCCCTCGATGTCAGCAAACAGGATGCTAGAGAGACAGGGGGCAAGACCCCCGTGAGGAAGGAAGGTCAGGGGGACGCAGCTGGGGCCACCCTCCGCCTTAGGAGGGCTGCCAGCCAGCAAGAGTCCCGGGAGCTCCAAACGGCTGCTGGGGAGGGGAGAGAGAGAGCTGACGCTGGTGGTCTCTCTCAGCTGGTAGGGAAATGCCAGGCCAGCCCTCCTTTCTGTAACTCCCTGCACCCTCGCTCCCACCCAGGAGGAAAGGGGGGCCGAGGCGCGTGAGGCCGGGGGGCGTACGTCTGCCTGAGGCCATGCAAACAGGGCCTGCTCCCCTCACCCTCAGCCACCTCTCAGGCCTGCCCCCCGTTTGACCCCTGAGCAGCCCCCTCAAGGTAGCTGGGTCCAGGAGAAGGGTCTCTGGTTCATCTTGTCTGGAAAGTGTTTCAGGCCCTAATGGCGGCCGTACAGAGGTCTCACTTCCCAAACCCACACACAGGGAATCCAACCCCAGGCCCTCCATACCGAGGGAGTCCTCTAGAAGAGACAGAATAAAGAGGCCCAGGGAGGAGGGAGAGGAAGACACAGCCAGTAGGCGTCTCTGGAAGCCCCCCAACTTGTCCTGCCGGCTCCTTCGGCCTCATCCCCGGGGCCCTCGGGTGTACCCGCGGGTCCCTGCATCGCACGCTGTGATCTTTCATCTGTTCCCGAGACTGAACGTGTCTTCCTTTTCTTTCCAAACAGACTACGAGAGGTGAGGCCCCAGGGCCAGAATGTGTAAGGGCCCCAAGAGTTTTTTCTTAAAATGGACACAGAAATGCACTAACTCTTGTGGGCTGAGATGCTCCTGGTGGCTGGGCCCGGGGACTGGGGTTTCCGACCTGCCACCTCACTGAGCCCTCCAGGCAGCCCTGAAGGGGGGCCCGGTGGGCCCATCCCAAGATGAGGAGCCTTGGGGAAGAGCCACGGACGGTAGCTTGGGGGCTCTTCCCCACGGCCTCTGCTCTCTCCTCTGATCCACGTGGCTCCCGAGGCTCCGGACCGACAGTCTCGCTTCAAATTAGAGTGTAGAACTAAACATGCCTTGTCATTTTATTTGGAAAATGTGTGTTCATGCATTAAGCATATCTTTTCATTCTGCTATCTGACATCCGGGGTCTTCCTGACCTGGGGAGCCTGCCTCTCCCAGGCCAGCCAGTTCCTAGAGATGGTCAACCACTCGCCTTGGAGTCCAGAGCCTCCCACCCCAGTCAGGTTCCCACACCTGGCCCACCACTCCCCTGCCCTACTCACCCGAGGGACAAGTGCCAGGTAACTCGGACAGTCCTATGCCTCAGAGCCCACCGACATTATTCAAACTAGCCAATCCCAAGCCTGCTTACCCTGCCTCACCCATTCCTTCCTGCAGAAACCACAACAGAGGCTCTAGCCCATGTTTCCCCTCACGCTGCCTCCTCACTGACCCCTGTGCTTCCCTGTATGGCCCCCCAGCCCATGGCGTAACGCGTCCTCTCCCCTCGGGACCTGTGAGTAACAAACTGTCTTTTCAATGGCAGCCGTCTCCTGATCTGTTGGCCTCACCATACCTGGATAATAATAACACCTACATTTTAAAATAGTTGGACATTGTTCTAAGCACTTTACATGTATGAACTCATTTAAGCCTCACAACCACCCTTTGAGGTTGGAATCCTTTTCGAGGTAAGAAAACTGAGGCACAGAGAGGTCGAGTCACCTGCCCAAGGCCACACAGGCTCGTGTGGGTCCACAATCCAGGAGTTAAGCCAATAAGTACTATGCTGTCTGTTGGCCCCATAGTCATCTTAAATGAGTAAAAGCACAGTTCACTGGTCTGGCATTGTATACGGGGCAGAGGGAGGGGGAGGGACAGGTGTGGGCTGCCGTAGGCGGGCAAGTACAGGACTCCATCGTGAGGGGACACGCTCTGCACCAGCTTACACGAGGGGAAGTGGGAGCGCATCTCGGGGCTTGGGCTAGGCAAGTACAAGAAAAGTACAGGAGGGCAGCCCCCAGGCCCCGAGCCCAGTGCTGTTTCCCGGCTCCGAGGCTCCTCTGGCCATCCTGACCCCAGTTCAGACCAGCAGACAAGTGCAGGAGGAAAGCCAAAGAGGGTGGGAGAAATGGGGGAGCTGGCAAGAGAGGAGACAAGTGAGGGGGACGGAAGGAAAGGTAAGGAGGAGGAGCAGAGAGGAGAGACTGTCAGCCCACAGGACTCAGAAACCAGACAAGCTGCTCCGGAGTGGCAGCCACGGGGCCGGGGCTCAGAAGATGAAAGGGAGCCGGAGCCCCCATCAGGCTTTTTTTTTTTTTTTTTTGTGGTACGCGGGCCTCTCACCGTTGTGGCCTCTCCCGTTGCGGAGCACAGGCTCCGGACGCGCAGGCTCAGCGGCCATGGCTCACGGGCCCAGCCGCTCCGCGGCACGTGGGATCCTCCTGGACCGGGGCACGAACCCGTGTCCCCTGCATCGGCAGGCGGACTCTCAACCACTGCGCCACCAGGGAAGCCCCCCCACCCCCCATCAGGCTTTGAGGCCTGGTGTCTGGCAGACAGGCTCAGAACCCCGCCCGGGGGGAGTCTGCCGGCATCCACACTGGTGAGAGAGAAGCACGTGAAGGGAAGCGGCCATGCTCCAGACGCTGACCCCGGCTCCCCAAGGACGTTTAGACCCCTAGCCCAGCCCACCAGCCACCTCCCTGGCTCTCAGTCTCTCAGAAGCCCCACCCCACCCGGGAAGAAGGGAAAGGTCTCTCCTGGTCTACGTGAAAGCACCATGACACAGTTGTTCTGGAAATTCTTCTTTAACTTAGATAATCAAAGCCAAGGGGAGTTGGGGTCAAGACAGCTGCTCCGGAGTCAAGAACACCTTTAATAAGTGTCAGTATTTCGAATGCAAAGCCGCAGGCACCAGGCCCAGCAGCTGTTCCACACTGGGTCCCAGGCTACAGAGCAGAAGCCTGGCTTTGGGGGCTGATGAGACCCTCCCCCATGGTGGGAAGGAAAAAAAATCTCCAAACCCGGCAGAGGCAGGAACGCTACTGGGCAGGGTGACCCGCAGCACCAAGCCAGGGAGAAGAGGGAAGGAGGAAAAGCACGGGCCGCCCCTAGAAGCACTAGGCAGACGTGTGTGGACCAGGGCTCGGGGGCCTCGCTTCACTGAGCCCTGAGCCCTGCAGCTGCTTGAGCTCACCTAGCCACTCAGCCAGCATGGCCTCTGCCTGCCACGTGTGCACATGGGCAGACCTGCAACCCTTCTCCTTCTCCACAGGGACCTGGCTGGGCCTAGGAGAGCACTTTCTCCACTGCAGCGTTCATCTGCTAGACCAGTGGTTCTCAGAGCTGGTGTCCATCAGAATCCCCCTGGAGCTTTTATATGGAGAAGTCCCGGAGCCCCATCCCCAGAGATTCGGACTTCATCGGCCTGGGGTGGGGCTCTGCTATTGATTGGTTTTGTTCTGTTCTGTTTTGTTTTGTTTTATTGTAATCTTCCCTGGTGACTCTAATATGCAGCCAGGGTTGAGAACCAGGGTACTGGTTTAAACGTCACCTTCTCAAGGCTTCCTCCACCCTATTTAAATCTACAACCCCTCCCATATGTCTAAGTCCCTTATCTACTGTATTTTTCTCCACTGCACTTTTCACCATTTAATATATTATTTATTAGTGTTGTTGTTATTTATTATCACGCTCCTGTCTGCCTCTCCCCACTAGAATGTAGTCTTTGAAGGAGGGATTTTTTGTTGTTCTTTTGTTTTTGGCTGCATTGGGTCTTCGTTGCTGTGCACGGGCTTTCTCTAGTTGCGGCGAGCGGAGGCTACTCTTCGTTGTGCTACTTACTCTTCATTGCGGTGCGTAGGCTTCTCATCGCGGCGCCTTCTCGTTGCGGAGCACAGATTCTAGGCACGCGGGCTTCAAGTAGTTGTGGCATATGGGCTCAACAGTTGTGGATTGCGGGCTCTAGAGTGCAGGTTCAGTAGTTGTGGCTCCGCAGCATGTGGGATCTTCCCGGACCAGGGCTTGAACCCGTGTCCCCTGCATTGGCAGGCAGATTCTTAACCACTGCGCCACCAGGGAAGTCCTGAAGTAGGGATTTAGTCTATTTCTTTCAATACCACATCCCGGCCCCTAGTACCGTGTCTGGCACACAGAGGAACTGCTCAATACACAGGACATAGTAGGTGCCTGTTAGTTTCCTAGGGCTGCTATAGCAACGCACCACAAGCTGGGCCACTTAAGACAACAGAAATTTATTCTGTCCCAGTCCTGGAGGCTGGAAGTCTGAAGTCAAGGTGTCGGCAGGGCCAGGCTCCTCTGCGACTCTGGGTAGAACCCCTCCTTTCTTCTTCCTGCCTCCAGTGGTGGCTGTCAATCCTGGTGCTCCTCACCTTGCAGCTGTGTCACTCCAACCTGTCTCTGTCCCCATAAGGCATTGTCCATGCGTATCTGTGTCTTTGCATGGCATTTTCCTCTTCCTATAAGGACACCACTTATATTGGATCAGGGGCCCACCCTCTCCAGCATGACCTCATCTTAACTTGATTTCATCCACAAAGACCCTATTTCCAAATAAGGTCACATTCACAGATACGAGGGGTTAGCACTTCAACGTATCTTTTAGGAGGGCACAGTTCAACCCACACAGTGTCTAATATATATTTGTTGAATGGAAGAGAATATTCATAGTGTAAAGCAAGGAAGAGGCAGGACCAGTAACTCTAGTAGCTCTTCCTTCTATCCCACTGGGCCTCTTGAGGTCCCAAGCACGTTATCTGAGACACGAGTGTGGGGAGCCCCGGGCCTGGCACCCAGCAGATATCCAGCAGTGTTCACGGAACAAGCGGTAGAATAGTGATGGAGGCCAGGCATCTTCCTGGTCTGTGCCAGAGGACATCGGAAATGACATCCATGTGGACGGGACCTCCAGGTGCCTTAGAAAGCCTGACCCTCCGGGACTTCCCTGGTGGTGCAGTGGTTAAGAATCTGCCTGCCAAAGAAGGGGACACGGGTTTGAA